TCACAAAAAATATTGATATCGACTGATATCAAAATGGTGATAAAAAATGTTTGCATATCGTCCAGCTCTAGGCTAAAAAAGATTTAATCCACTGAATATATCAAATGTTGCTTGCCACCAAAACAATTAAAATTACCGCTAGGGTTGTCACAATACTAGAATTTCAAACTAGAAACCGATACCCAAGGAAAATACTAAATACTCGTTACCATTTTCGATACCATAAAGGCACCAAAAGAAGTCCAGAAAGGACCTCGTCAGAACCTCAGGATGAGTGCCATCCCGAATGCTGCAGAAGGCAAAACAGACACAAGGGAGGTAGTATCATTTATGGAGACATCCAGACGTGTATCTCCTGGCTTCAAATCCCACTTGGAGCAACAAAGGTATTCCTCCTCTGTTGGCATTGTTGTACACTGTCCACAAGAAAACCACCAGTTGCCATCTATTCGCCGACGTGCAGCGGTTTGTTGATCTCTGGCCAGCTGTTCCTCTCTCTGCCGCCGCATCCTCCTTTCAAGGAGCTCCTCATCTGTGTACTCTGGCTCAAAACAGTAAGGGCGTCCATCACAGTCAAAGTCGTTGTCCACATCTTCAAAATCTGATAAGTATTCTGCCATGTTGTGCAAAACTAGCAGCAGCAAACTCTGTATAAACAAACACAGCGGATCGTCATCTGTGCTGCGGCTGCACGCCTCGGTGACGTCACCCCAGTGAAAGCCCGGGATGTAAACAAAGCAACTTGGACTCACAGGGGACTAGTACTGGCGATTCATAGTACATAAAGAGTTTCGCAGCAGATAATGCGTTATTTAGAGGCTGTATTGTGGATGCCCCAATCTATTACATTGTATGGATATACGCTGATCGTGTGTGGATCTTAAAGCGTCCGAAGGACTCCAAGTTACTCCAAACCTTTATGGGTGAGTATATCTACAAACCATATGCTGGAAATAAGGCCCAGGTTGACAAAAAACAAACTTCTCCTTTAATAGTTTACATGAAGAAAATATGTTACCACGCTGTGGTAGGTAGCTGAATTAGTTGAATGCTAATGCGAGCTAATGTTAGCAAACAGACTGATAACAGAGAGACAGCAGGAGACACACGTCTTCTCTGTTTACACACTGAAACAGCTGAGAGCTGTACTGAGGTGAGCAAGAGAAGAGGAGGAGATCCTGGAGCTGCAGCAGTGAGGAGGAGGAGAGACTGAACCACTGGGAGCAGAATGAACCTACAGGTTTGTGTTTTTATTATATTACTACATGGTCTGCTTGATATCAACAAGAACAACACAACACAAAGTGTTTTTATACCACAGCTCTGTGTTCACATCTTACTGAGTAATGTTACTGTAACATTAACATTAACAGTCACTGACTGTAAAACCTCAGAGACACTACTGAACAATTATTATATGAATACTGTATGTTACAGGAATATTTTGTAATAATTATTTTTACATATGTGGGATAAAAACATTACAGCCTACAACCCCTAATAACATCATATAACCAACATAATGAAGAGCTAATAATAAAGCCTTATCAGAGTTTCTCCTTTGTTTATGTTTTCAGAGACTTGAAGAGATGAGTGTGGAGCAGCACAGGAGCTGACAGCTGCAGACATGGTGACCCACCTCCTGCTGGAGTGTCATGGTGTTCTTATGAACTGTAGAGACTAACCTTTCAGACAGTCAGAAGAAATGCTGTGGTCAAGATCCTGAAAACTGAGAGTCTACCACTGTACTTCTCCCAGTACTGCCAAGAAGTTTTTTTTACATATTAACAGGCAGTACCTGGAGGATGTTACAGTGTTAGACCACATTAGAGAGTGGGGGATGACAACACTGTTACCACAGCATATCAACATTTTATGTATTGTCAACATGGCTCTTTAGGCCAGGGAACCCATCTTGTCATCCCCAGCTGCTGTATTTGTCCCTC